CCCGGGCCCCCCGGACCGACAGAGCTGCCACGGCCTGTATGCCTGCCAGGATCGGGGAGACGTAAGGCTCCGGGAACGGGGGGCTCGGGCTGGCCTGCCGGGGACCCTCAGACAAAGGACGAGACCCATACGAACTCTGACGCGGGCTCCCGCTGCAGACGTCCCACGAACACGGGACCCTCAGAGTCCAGGACGCGCCCGTCAACAAAAACTCGGCAGACCCGAGTTCCGGCTTACTCGAGTCTTACGTCTCCCCGACAGGAAGGACAGACGGGGGCCTCCTCCTCCTCCTCCTCCACCTCCTCCTCCTCCACCTCCCCTCCTCCTCCTCCTCCTCCTCCTCCTCCTCCTCCTCCTCCCTCTCCTCCTCTTTCTTCCTCCTCCTCCTCCTCCTCCTCCTCCTCCTCCTCCTCCCCCTCTTCCTCCTCCTCCTCTTCCTCCACCACCACCTCCTCCTCCTCCTCCTCCTCCTCCTCTTTCTTCTCCTCCCTCCGGGGAGCAGGTCTCGGAGGCTCTCGGTGGCCTCCATATGGGCCCTCCACGGGCCCAGCCGTCGAGCGGCCCCCGCAGCGTCAGCACAAGACAGGCGCTCGACAGCCAGGACCTAACACACGCTCGACGGCAGGCGAAGCGGCAGCGTCCTGGGCAAATAGGGGAACAAGAAGTGACATAGACATAAAAACTCGGAGGTCCGCGCGGATTTCTCGGATCGGCGCTGGGGCCCCCGGGCGGCGCCTCCGGCGTCGCCGCTGGCGCGCTCCGCGCGCCAGGGAGGGGGGTCCAGCGCCGATCCGAGAAATCCGCGCGGACCTCCGAGTTGTTATGTTTATGTCACTTCTTGTTCCCCGAGCAAAGGCACTGGGGCCCAAAGCCCACATTCAAAAACCACGGGGCCCGTGACGGCACCGAGTGCCAGTCGCTGACCGAACCAACAGCGTGTGTGAGAGGCTGGGAAGCGCTAGAGTGGGCAGCGATGTGCACAGAAACAGCCAGGGAGGAGGGAGGGGGGCGGACAGGAGGAGTAGGAGGAAGAGGTGGGCGGAGAAGGAGGGAGGAGGCGGAGAAGGAAGAGGAGGAGAGGGAAAAGGAGGAGGGCGGGGGAAGAGGGAGGAGCCGAGGGGGAGGAAGGAGGAGGAGGAGGAGGAGGAGGAGGAGGAGGAGGAGAAACGGGAGGAGGAGGAGAAGGAGTCGAGGAGGAGGAGTCGAGGAGGAGGAGTCGAGGAGGAGTCGAGGAGGAGGAGGTGGAGGAGGAGGAGGAGGAGGCGGGAAGAGGCGGGAGGAGAGGGAGGAGTCGAGGAGCGAGGAGGAGCCGAGGAGGAGCGAGGAGGAGGAGGGCGGAGGACGACCGACCGCTGCCGAGCATCAGCGCAGGACGCCACGTGGGCGGCGCCGCCCCACGGCCCCCCCGCGGCGCCGGGGCGGAGCCTTTGAGGAGCTGCGGAACACCTGCGCGGCGGAGGCGCCCACGTCGGCCTTCAGCTCGTCGGCCGCCTCGGCGCGAGGCGCACCGCGCCGCGCGCGCGGCCCGGGGTGGCTGGCAGCCAGGGGCCCGCCCTCCTCCTGCTCCATCCTCCTCCTCCTCCTCCTGCTCCATCCTCCTCCTCCTCGACTCCTCCTTCTCCTCCTCCATCCTCCGTCCTCCGTCCTCCTCTTCCTCCTCCTGCTCCTCCTCCTCCTCCTCCTCCTCCTCCTGCGCCACCCCCCTCCTTCTCCACCCTCCGCCTCCTCCTCCTCGTCCTCTTCTCCTCGCGCGTGGCCGAACCTCCTCTCCTCTTCCTCTTCCTTCTCCGCCCACCTCCTCCTCTTCCTACTCCTCCTCTCCTTTCCCCTCCTTCGTCCCTGGCTGTTTCTGTGCACGTCGCTACCCACTCTAGTAGCTCTTCCCAGTCTCTCACACACGGAGTTGGTTCGATCATCGACTGTCATTCGGTGGATCAGCTTGCCCACATCAACGCGAATAGCATGGCAGCGAAGGCCGGGCGAGCCTTGCGCGTAGCCAACCTGCCGAAATCCTGACCGGGGCTACGTCCCTGAGATCCAACGTCTCGAAAAATTGACACGTCATCAGAACTCACGACCAAAGCCCTAGACCCCACTTTTCTGCCCCATTTCTCGAGCTGGATCGATCTCTGAGGGTCCTGGTGCCCGAAATCAGTCGAGAACGCCCGGCTCAGAAATATTCCGACGCCAAGATCTAAGGGACTCCAGGATCGCGCAGCCATGGCCCTCTTGAGCAGCTGCTCTCTCAGAGCAATTCCCTGGCCGACCCTCCCGGGACTCTGGGCTCGGCCGCGCCTGCTCCGGCCCGCAGACAGGATCGCCCATGCGCTCGCCCACCACCCCCGCCTTCCCAGGACCTCCTCACGACGTCGTGACAAGAATGCCACAACGAAGAACTTTGGCAAAAAAGAAAAACTGCATAAACATAAACTTTTCGCGCTGCGCGCTGAATTCTTGGATCTGCGCCGGAGACTCCTCCCTGGCGCGCGAAGCGCGCCACGGGCGGCGCCAGAGGCGCCGCCGGGGGGCCCGGCGCGGATCCAAGAAATCTGCGCGGAGCGCCAAAAGTTTCTGCTTATAGTTTTTTGGTCCCCAACCATCTTGTGGTGTTGGGACCTCGTTCTGAAGAGACGGTCCCCGCGTTCCTCCTCTCCTCCTCCTCCTCCCCCTCCTCCCCTCCCTCCTCCTTCTTCCATGCGCTTCACCCGCCCTGCACAGCGCTTCGTGGCCCCATAGGGAGCTCCCCCGAAGCCCCCAGTGGCACCGCCCGCATGCATCCGCCACCACCTAGCACAGCCCTTGCTCCCTGCGTTTCGCCCACCCAATACAGCGGTTCGTGGCCCCATAGGAAGCTCCACGGAAGGTCCCAGAGGCACCGCCCGCATGCGTCCGCCACCACCCAACACGGCCCTTGTTCCCTACGTTTCACCCACCCAATACAGCGCTTCGTGGTCCCATACGGACCTCCACCGAAGGTCCCAGTGGCACCGCCCGCATGCGTCCGCCACCACCCAGCACAGCCCTTGCTCCCTGCGTTGCACCCATCCAGTACAGAGCTTCGTGGCCCCATAGGGGGCCCCACCGAAGGTCCCGGTGGCACCGCCCGCATGCGTCCGCCAACACCAAGCACAGCCATTGCTCCCTGCGTGTCAACCACCCAGCACAGCGCTTCGTGGCCCCAGAAAGGGGCTCCACCGAAAGTCCCAGTGGCACCGCCCGCATGCGTCCGCCACCACCCAGCACAGCCTTGCTCCCTGCTTTTCACCCACCTGGTAAAGCGTTTCGTGGCCCCATAGGGACCTCCACCGAAGGTCCCGGTGGCACCGCCCGCATGCGTCCGCCACCACCCAACACGGCCCTTGCTCCCTGCGTGTCACCCACCCAGTACAGCGTTTCGTGGCCCCATGGGGAGCGCCACCAATGAATATATTCACAATGTCGGTACTCACAACTGCATATGGTTGCGTCTTTCGCCTGGCTAATTTGCGTCGATTCCCTAGGCCTCCTCACGACGTCGTGACAAGAATCTCTCACCGGAAAACGGTGGGCCCTTTTTTGAGCACATTCGCTGGGCCCCACGTTGGTCAAATAACGGCTCCAGAGGAAAGGCTGCCCCAGGGGGGGAGTGGTGGGGACTTCCAGGGATTTCGGATCTGTGGGAAGATAACCTCAACAAATAGTCACCCCTCACTTCGGCAAAACATGAAAACTTCCCGAAACCGGGAAGAGATATCCCAGCGTCCGCCGTCAGCAGGATGATGATGACGATGACGATGACGATGACGATTGCGATGATGATGATGCTGATGATGATGAAGTTGTTGATGATGATGATGTTGATGATGATGAACAATTATCCCAGTGCGACCCTACTTAGGAGTTGGATTATTAGGAAGCAACATCTACATCTACACCGACAGTTGCATATGCTATGCTAGGCTAGGCTATGATATAAGATGCTATGCTGCGCTATGCTATGCCATGCTATGCGACGCTATGCTATGCTAAGATAATATGCATGGCTATGCTGTGCTATGATATGCTTTGCTATGCTGCACTGTGCTATACTAAGCAATTATATGCTATGCTATGCGATGCTGCGCTATGTTATGGTATGCTATGCTATGCTGCGATATGATGAGTTATGATATGCTATGCTATGATGTGCGATGACTGGCTATGCCATGCTCTGCTATGCTGTGCTAGTGCTGCGCTGAGCTAAGCTAAGCTAAGGTAAGCCAAGCTAAGGTAACATAAACTATGCGATGCTATGCTATGCGAAGTTAAGCTACGCTAGGCTAAGCTAAGATGATATAAGCTACGTTAAAATACGCCAATCTAAGCTGGGCTAAGTTAAGCTAGGCTAGGCTAGGCTTGGCAAAGCTAAGTTAAGCTAAGCTAAGATGAGATAAGCAAAGCTAAGCTAAGCTAAGCAAAGCTAAATTAAGCCAGGCTGCTGGGGGAACCGCGGGGCGGATCCTGGGGGAACCGCTGGGCGGATACTGGGGGGACCGCCCGGGGCGGGCCCCACTGCCCGGCTCGTTAAGCTTACCGAGTAAGAACCCTTTCTAAGCAAATCCCAGGTAGAGAAAAAACGAGCCACCCTCAATCAATGAAACTCTTGCACTTGCTCGAAGCGAAAATCATGGTCGTTGCGTTCTTGCCGCCGGCCCTTGATTGATGTCGATTGCGCGGGGGGGGGGGATATTTGTTGTGTTCTCTGTTTGGCGCGGTGCTAAATATTATCGGTCGGCACCCCCCAGCGGAATTTACCAATACTGGTTCGGAGTTAGTGATAATCTGGCTTCAGAATGACTTGTCAGGGTTACAAATACCGTTCCCACAAGACCTCTCGGGTGCTTTCTGGCCAGGATTTCGGGCCGAATCTGGCCGCGGCAACATGGACTGGCAACGGCACCAGTATGTTATCAGAGCGAAGGGCCGAACAGTCATTCACTGTCCTTGGGTGCGTGGCTGAAATGGGATTCCGCGGTGCGGATTCTCGTTGTTGTTGTTGTTTGTTGTTGTGGTTGTTTGTTGTTGTTGTTTGTTGTTTGTTGTTGTTGTTGATGTTGTTTGTTGTTGTTGTTGGTGTTGTTGTTGGTGTTGTTGTTGTTATTGTTGTTGTTGTTGCTGTTGTTGTTGTTGTTGTTGTTGGTGTTGTTGTTGTTGTTGTTGTTGTTGTCGTCGTCCCGCCCGCAACCCGCCCCGCGACCCACCCGCGACCCACCCCGCGACCCACCCCGCGACCCACCCGCGACCCACCCGCGACCCACCCCGCGACCCACCCGCGACCCACCCCGCGACCCACCCGCGACCCACCCGCGACCCACCCGCGACCCACCCCGCGACCCGCGACCGCGACCCACCCCGCGACCCGCCCGCGGCCCACCCCGCGACCCACCCGCGACGCACCCGCGACCCACCCGCGACCCACCCGCGAGCCACCCGCGGATCACACCGCGACCCACCCGCGACCCACCTTCGACTCAAACCACGTTCAAAATACAGACCACCATTTTCGGCGCCTGCGGCGGGTTTTGCATCCCTTCCAAGTGGAGAGCCCGCGACCCACCCCGCGACCAACTCGCGACCAACCCGCGACCCAAACCACGCCCGGGGTACAAACCACATTTTTCGGCGCCTGCGGCGGGCATTTTTTGCATTCGTTTTATGGAGAGCCCGCGGCCCACCCGCGGCAACGATCAGAGTGCAAACCAAAGTTTTCGGCGCCTGCGGCGGGCATCTTTTGCATCCGCTCCCGGTGAAGAACCTGCGGCCCGCCCGCGACCCGTGCCACGTTCAGTGTACAGACCAATTTTTTCGGCGCCTGCGGCGGGCTGCTTTTGCATTACTTCCTCGTGGAGGTGGAGAACCCGCGACCCAAACCACGTTCACTGAACAAACCAATGCCGCACAAGCGCGGCGGCGGATTGCGCATGCCGTCTGAGCCCGCAACGACCTCTTCAAGCCCCGCGCATCCACACCAACCCGTCCAGCAACTTTGCCCTGGCGAGTTGCCTTGTTCAGAAAAATCGGGGAGCATAAAATGGGAAAAAGGATTGCGTTGCCGTTATCTTGGGAACGGAGGGGGAGGCAGGAGGAGTCCGCCGGCCCCCTTGTGGGGCCACCAGGCTGCAGGACCGTGATTCGCAGTTTCCTGTACCAGTTGTAGTTTCTAGTTTCCAGAGTTACAGTTCTGCTTCTTGCTGGTTACTGTAACTAGTTGACTTTTTGCTGATTACTGTAACTAGTTGATTGACCGCGCGAGGGGGGGGAGGCCCAAACACGACTTTTAGCGTCTCCTGGGCGCGTTGTCTGAATTGCTGGGGGGGCTCGAAATCGCCACCCCTCACAGGATCCGCGGGGTCAGGGTCCAAAAACATAGGGGATTTGCCACATTTCTGAAATTCCGTGCCACCCCTCACGCAGATCCGCGGGGTCAGGGTCCAAAAACACAGGGGATTTGCCACATTTCTGAAATTCGGTGC